TCAAGGCTATAACTCAAAAGTAAATCCTGATGTTCTTAACTCGTTTTCTACAGCAGCATTCAGATGTGGACACAGTTTAATAAGACCATCATTTGATAGACTTGATGCAAATTACAATCCAACAGGGGACCCCTTACCATTACGTCATCTCTTTTTTAACAATACCTATATTAAGAAACGCGGCATAGATGAATTAGCTCTTGGTCTACTCAGCAATTCTTCACAGGGAGTGGACCGAGAACTTGCAGTTGGAGTGTTAAATCATTTATACGAACGTCGGCATTCTCCAGGTTTAAACCTGGCTGCAATAAATACCCAGCGTGGCAGAGATCACGGTTTACCTGATTATAACGCTTTTAGACGACATTGTGGTTTGAAAAGTGCGAAGACCTTCAAGGATACATTCAACGAAATTGCACTTCGGCGAAATAGACGACTTTTAGCTAAGCTTTATAATAACAAACCTGAACTTGCCGATTTATGGGTGGCAGGTTTAGCAGAAACCCCAGCAAATGGTGGGATTGTCGGAGCAACATTTGGATGTATCATGCGAAAGCAAATGACAAGAGCAAGAGATGGAGACAGGTATTTCTACATGAATAAAGGAATGTTTTCACAACAACAGTTGAAAGAAATTAGGAAAGCGTCGTTGTCGAGGATTATGTGTGACAATTTGAGAAGCATTGTTTCAATTCAGAAGAATGCATTCATATCAGGAAGAAGAAGCAACCGTCGTACTGAGTGTGGTAATATTCCTGGTATTGATTTGACACCATGGGAAGGTAAGCACTACTAAAACCTGGTTGTTTTTATCACATGAACAAGTCATAGGCATTTAGCTCATAGATATCTTATATACATTAGATAGTGCATCTAATTATTCTGCAGTTCAAAAATTGAAGCCGTGATTGCAGACTCAGGATATTCCCATGAAATGAGAAGACTCGTATCTTTTCCAGTTCTTAAAGGAACTTCAAAAACTCATTAATAATTCATGAAGCAATTATCCAATCTTGAGTAAGAAATTAGTCACGTGCATACGTCTTTATACCAGCTAAAGAACACTTTAACAAAAGACCTTTGTTATGCAAACTATATAAAGATTTTTATATAAAGATTTTTATATAAAGATTTTTATATAAAGGTTTTTATATAAAGATTTGCCTTATTATGCAAACGTTTTTGAAGCCATTTAAAAAACTCGCGGGTCGTGTTTTATTAGGTCTAAAGCCACTCGCGCTGCGCGCTCGTGGCTTTAAACCTAATAAAACACTCCTGCTCGTTTTTTAAATGGTACTTAAACATTAAGTTAAACCTATTCCAAATACATTTTCAAACTATTCAAATGATGAAAGTTATTGTTGTTTTTTAAGCGTTTATTGGCCAACAACAACATGGCCGCCATCTATTCAAATGGGGATAATCGCTTTTACCCCATGATCACAGATATTATTCACATTACAGGGTGTATAAAAAAAAACTGGACAGATTTGAAATTGCTCTCAATTTCGCAAAACACCTATTTGTATCTGTTTTTTTAAATATATAGCTTCTTTGGGTACTTATATAATGTAAAATAATGAAAAAAATTTCTCGAACTCAAATTTTGTGAACCAGGGGGGTGTGTCTTTTCCAACAAACTAAAAATGGCTCGCGCACAAAATTTAAAAGCTGTAATAATATTTTGAGTTGATAGATTGAAAATCTGTCGGGTTTTTAATTACTGTACAAAATTTCAGACAATTTGGTTTAGTTTAAGCCCTTTAACTATTCATTTTGTTCTAAAAAGTCAGCCTTTCGCATGCTTAATTAATGCCTTTACCTAATTTGCATATTGCTGACATATGCAAATTAGGCAAATGCATTAATTAAGCATGCAAATAGCTGATTTTTCGGGAAAATTGTAACTTTGCGTGAATAGTTAAGGGGCTTAAACTAAACTAAATTGTCTGAAATTTTGTACAGTAATTAAAATCCCGACAAATTTTCCATCTGTCAACTCAAAATGTGATTGCAGCTTTTAAATTTTGTGCGCGAGCCATTTTTAGTTTGTTGGAAAAGACACCCCCCCCTGGTTCACAAAATTTGAGTTCGAGAAATTTTTTTCATTATTTTACATTATAAGTACCCAAAGAAGCTATATATATAAAAAAACAGATACAAATAGCTGTTTTGCGAAATTGAAAGCAATTTTAAATCTGTTCAGTTTTTTTTTTTATACACCCTGTATTATTCATACTATTATTCAGTCCATATTATTATTTTATTATTACCAATACCAGCTTTCTGTAGCAGTAGCTGAAAGGATCTAACAATGACAATAGAGCAATTATTATCATATTATATACTGTATTGTATTGTGTTGTCATATATTATATTACTGTATATATCTTTTTTAGACTACTATGGCAAAACCCGACATTAATTTACACTTCAATCATTCAGAAACTCGACCTGCACGAATCAAACTGTTTGTTTGAAGAAGCAAGTATATCATTCGGTTTTAAGGTGGTTCAATACAGCTTTTAAAAAATGGAAAATTAACGATTTAGATCCGTATATTTTTGAACAAATATTATATACTTGTTAAAAAACAAAAAAGTTATAATTTTTCACAAAAAATACACAACTGCCGTATGTTGCTGTGCCGTTGCATGCAATTTTTGACGTTTTAAGATGGCGGATATTTTGGCTAGACTAATTTAATTCAAAAACGAGATCAGTGACCCCATATTTTATTTCATAAATCATTTTTTCTTAATATATTAGGTATATACTCTTCATGACAATAAGATCTGGGGGTCACCGATGTCGTTTAAATGCGTAAACTCTTTAGATGCGGATTTTTAAAGTCAAATATACATGTCTATAAAACTACGGATCTAAATCGCAAATTTTCCATTCTCAAAAAAACTGTATCGAACCACCTTAAACTCGGCAAACTTAACTTTTAACACATCGGAAAACTAGATGAACATTAAAGATGCACTATACAGGTATATTTTCATATACACCATGCATGTGCGTTTTTATCACATTGGATTTTTGATGTGCAATATTGACCTAGATAGCTGCGTTTAAACATTAAGTAAACATTTTTGAAAGTGTCGAGCCATTAGTTGCGAAATGTTTGTTCGTTCATTGGAGCAGAAATGCTACGCTGATGACCATCACCGCGTATAACCTCATGAGCATTATTTACCCTGGCACCTTGCATACCGTATTTACTCGTTTGAGCGCCGCGGCGCTCTTTAAATTTTCAGAGCTTCAGATGCGGCGCTCATTCGGGGGCGGCGCTCAATCGGGGGCGGCGCTCAAACGAGTAAATACGGTATTCTAAACAAATCCAAACTCTTTATCCTTTACCGAACAAGGCATATTTATTTATAAAGAAAACGCGACGTTCCTTTCTCAGCACACTATCGGCAAATTCTCCATATAGGCATGGTACATCGAATGATGCGAAAGGATACTTTATTCTTTAATTAATCACAACGTACAGCCTTATAAGTTAATTTTCACTAACTAAGTAGCTATCTCGCTCAATAATTAAATTAATGCGTGAAAATGCACATGGAGTATATAAAAATTTAAGTTAGATATACTGACGTTTTTTGCGACACCCGCCAAAATTTGCAGAATCTATAAGTATATATATATATATATATATATATATATATATATATATATATATATATATATATATATATATATATATATATATATATATATATATATATATATATATATATATATATATATATATATATATATATATATATATATATACTATTTAAAGCACGCGTAGGAGTGTTTTATCACATATAAAACACGACGCGTAGCGGAGTGTTTTATATGTGATAAAACACGACTACATGCAAGTGCTTTAAATAGCTTAAAAAACGACTCATCTTAAACGAGTTCATTGGCGTAAGTAATTTTTAAAATAAACGTTGTCTAAACCGAGAAAATAAAAGCTAAAGTTTATGTAAATTAACGTGATTTTTTATCACATATAAAACCACGACACGCTTATGATTTTTCTTTGTGTTTTGCTTCTGAATTATTAATGAGTTTTTTAAATATATATATATATATATATATATATATATGTTAGTTGTGTAATTGTACACTCTGTAATATGTTAAGATGAAAATGTTCTAGAGTGTGTATTATATAATTTCCATACCCAGCGCAAGCAGATATATATATTCACCAGCAGGAAAAATATGATTATATAATATATTAATTCATGGTTGTTTTTGTTATTCCGCTTCCAGATCCGAATATACTAAAGGGACGAATATAAAGTTCGTTTTCCACTTCAACCGTATCGTAACGCATCATAGCATTTCTTTTGTGTCGTCGAAGTCTTTAGTTCCACTCTAGTGCTCAGGAAACAAACAAGGGGCACGCCACCCCC